GTCTTTTATATTATGCTCCGGGATAATTTCTGGGTTTGATCTGCCAGGTCACAAATCTACTTTTCAGCACATCTACGCAGCTTTCAATTCACATGATCATACAATTTTTGTTCCTGAGCATCTCCTCAGATTTTGTTTGGATAAATGTTGCTCCTTGATTTTTTTGTTTGTTTTTTTTGTGAATACATCTTTACTCTCACTATTCTATTATTCTATTTACTTTATTGCTTCATTATTTACCAGAGTTTGCTGATTATCCTTTATAGTATTTGTTTTCATGAACATACGATATTCTTGAGAAACATGTTTTGGTTACCCTGCTCACCTATCTGTAATTTCCTCTCTAGTTACCTGTCTGTCCTCCAGGTGGGCCCTCCTATTGGGTGCAGTGAGCCAATAGTTCATCTTGTGACAGTGGAATTTCTCTATTGCTCTGTTGTCACCAACTCACCCCTGAGAACTGTGCCGCTGTGGCCCCTTTCTGTGCACGGTGTCCCTTTAACAGCATGCATATGGTATCTCTGGCGAAAGTCCCAATGTGCACAGATGTTTTCTAGGTCTGCGTTTTTCCCATTCCTCCAAACCAACTGTTGTCAGTCTTTCAGGAGATACTAAAAATGTCTTATCTTCTTACAGTATTCTCCCACAAAACATACTTAGTGTATCTTTGGTAGGGTATCTTTTCTTTCATTCCTAAGGTTAAGTTTGAAAGAAGAAAGTGAATACATGAGGGTAGACAAGAATCTCAGTTTCTTTTCAATGCTGATTCCAAATCTAACCCACTTCTCTGGTGACACATTCCCTTCCAGCCTTCATGCTGGTACTTGATAAACTGCTTTGGCCAAAGCAGATGCCCACCCCTAACACATGCATTTTTTATTGTTCAACACTTGCCAAAGCAGTAAATACCTGAATTTGAGTAATGAAGTAGAAAGAAAAAAAAATAAAGAATTTACAGTTAGCAGCAAACTCCCTATCAAAAATTGATCACAATGACTACTGTATAAAACTCTAAAATTTGAGGCAATAATATACTAGTTGAAATCTTTCTCATTCTGGAAAAATAAGTATTACTAATACTCATTTTAATAGTTTATCTTAAAGAGAACCAGAGGCAAGGTATGTACTGACTTAGTTCACCTTGTCCCATTGTTTGCACATGCTTTAAAAGAGAAATGAGGGTAACTTTGAACAAATAGAACTGCAGTGCTACTTTTTCCCCAAGTTTAGACCTCTTGTGGGAGTGGGGGAGGAATTGGCCATTCTCCTGTTACAGATACAGCCATCTTTTCCTTCACTCTCCACTCTGAGGGGCTTGTGGTTCTCTCTGACCCTAGACTCCAAAGTAAATAAAGGAGGATGTCTGTCAGCCTGGAAGCAAGGGAGAGGCAGGAGAAGGGCAGGGATTGCTTTCTCTATGGCCAGGACCTGCCAAAGGGTCTGAATATTTTTTCTAAATGCTGTACCTACTTTAAAATCTCACTTTTGATGTTTCAAAGGTGGCTTAAACTCAGTATATGTGTAACATCATCCATGACATTCTTTTCCAAACCCAGAAACATCTCCCCATGTTTCCTGTCAGTGATCCTATGCCTGTGGCCACATCTCAGCAACTGTCTTTCATGCTGTTTCAGCTATACTGGCCTGCCTGCCACTAATGGTTGTGCTCTTACATGAAATTTGTTTTGTGTATTTTAATTTTTAGAAGCTGTAACTTATAACCTAATGTGTGTTCAATTTAGTGCTTTTTATTGTTTCCTAAGATCTGGGTATGATACAGTGAGTTAAAAATGAAGCAATAAACAGTAATGCACCATTACAGTGTGGGGGGCATATATACAAGTATACATACTTGAGGTAGCTGTATTCCTACTCCCCACCCCCTCACAACTGAGACTAGCAAACAAGGTGGGGAATTTCCTTGCCACATACCAAGGCTTTTTCATCTTCATTTGTATTCTCCTCATCTACACAGTGTCTTATTCATAGCGAATGGTTCAACAAATATTTCACTGGATAACACTATCATATTTATGTGTCTTTTAGGTCTAACATATGGTGCAAGTAAAATTACTTCCCAATATTAGAGAATGCTAAGGGGAAACAGTAACAGTACTTCATATAGCTACTGTCACATATACACATACAATCTGTGTGTTTATAAATATGGGGGAAAGAAATAAGTTGAAGAGGCCTCACTTGACCTTATATACAAAATCTCCACTCTAGAATTTTGTATATGAAATATGAAGAATGAGTTGGCTAATCTTGCAAATGCTCATCACTTTGCAATAGTGGAGAACTGATGATCAATTTCTTTTGCTAGAGACTTTGGGACCCATTCAAATATATAACAGCCCCAAAGGCATGGAGGAGTTCAGTCACCAGAAGGCATACCTAACCACTGAGAAACGAAGTGGTTATATATATCACTTAGTGATATATTCTAAGTGATGATCTGAAAACTTTACTAGCTGCAAAGAACAAAACTGTTGCCAACCTAAAGCAGCTGCATTTAGAAATAATTAAATCGCAGGTAAACTCATGATTCTTCATACTAGAATCACCCAATACCAAGATTCTAGAAATACAGAGGAACAAGAATGCAGTTCTGTGATAATCAGCAGTCAGACAGTAATGCCCATACTCTAGCAGACAGGCTTCTGAGACCTGATCTCACCAGAAATCTTCCCTTACTGCATCTTCCAGTTCCACCACAGAAGACTTTATTTTCATTCCCTCCTTCACATCTCCACTCACTCTCTTCCCTCTATGTAAAAATACTCTTCACCTTTTCAATAGCTTGAGAAAGCTTCCCCATGCTTCAAAGTCCAATTAAATTAGACAGTTAAGCTAGACTGCTTTGAGAAGTCTTCCTTGACTCCCCTAATTGGACTTTACCTTGAACGGATCATTTGACTCATTATGCTGGTATGTCACTGTTTCATGACTAATGGTATCATATCTGCTTGTGTATGATGCCCTTCTATCTGTGAGCCCCTAAAAGCCGGGGCATTTAATGCTTTATGCAGGACCTATTGGCCATTTGATATCTAAAAGACTTAATTCTATTATCCAATTTTAAAATTAAATCATCCAATTCTCTCTACTTATGAAAATTGAAGCCCAGAGAAGTAAGGCATTTGTCAATCATCAGGGAAAAAGCCAATGTCAGAGCTCAGATAACAAATCATGCCCTCTTTCCTAATCCACCCTCATAAAGGAAAAGGACTGGCATGGTAAAATGTCTGGAGTAACAAACCCACCCTTCTTGGCTATCTGCCTAACTTTTGCTCAGTCTGACTGCTACACTGTACTGCTGGCAATGTCAGTTTTCCTCAACAACAAAGACTTCCCAGTTCAGAGCATATACATATGTGGCAAATAGGAAAAGTGAGAATAAGTTCAACATGATAAACAGGGAGGTATGTGAAACTCCTATTCACTCTATGAAAAACCTACTCATGATTCTAACTTTGCTCCCTTAAGTATGGAGAGAAGGCAAAGCTCATTTGGAAAATCTGACCCAAAGTCTACATTTCAGCACAGTGAAACGCTTTATCCCCTATTGCTTCTACCACACCAGGAACTTTCTATATGTAATTAGTTAATCCCCTGGCCAAAAACTAGTGGACAATGAAATCCCCACAAAAATTTTCCCCCAGTGAAGTGTTTAAATATCAGTTCCACAGAAAACATTTTTAAAAGCTTTCATGTAATTTTTCCATGCCAAATTTTTTTTCACTCAGGGCTAAATATGTCCATATTTGAATATTCATCATAATAAGCATCTGGTTAAATATAGCCCTGTCCAGCATTTTACATCATTTGACTATGGGACCTGAGAAAGAAATAGGTAAAATTTTCCAGTTTTATTTTGATTGGCTTTTTAACCATTTTTTCCCCATTTAATGGCTTTAGATTGCTTTGACTATGCTCATATTTTCTGCTGTGCATTGCTATTGGACTTTTCTACAGATAAGCAGGTTGCTTTGAGACAAGTGTATGAATTTCATGGAAGGTTCAGGACAAAAATGAAGCCACCAATCACAGTATATGTGAATTTTTCCTTAAATGTTCAGTAAAGGCCATGTGATGATGGCTAAGTAACAATGTGATGCCACTGAACTGTACAGCTAAGAGAGTCAAAATGGAAAATTTGATCTGATATACATTTTAACACACAATAAAGGCCCGCTTTTTGGAGGAAATGATTATCACAAACGCTGGGTCAAGAAGGGGGTACAAGCAAATGATGAACTCTATCATCGAGGCAGAGCACATAGTTTTTCTAATTCCAACAGACCTTTTAGCAAGGCTCTTACCTTGTAACTTTCCTCCACAAGGTTGAGAGAAGAAAAGGGACTATTGCCAAGTGAAATAGACAGCTGGGTAGGCAAGTGGTAAATCATGGACCCATCACCTTTTGAAAGCTGATGGGATTCTCATGTCATTCCTTAGTCAACAACTCCATCTTCCAGCTCACTCCTCAACCCTTAAATGGTGAACAGGTGTCCAGGGTGGTTGTGAGTGTGTTTCAATTCCAGACAGCTGTTAAAATGTAATTCCCTAGAGAACTGCTCTGACAACTTTGATGTAGGACGTTTAAAAAACATACATGATAACAGGTGAGGAACTGAGACTGTGGGGGCCAACACAGAGATTCAGCAGTGAGCAGACTGGTATCATCCAGTTTCCTAAAATATACTCGGTGTGGTGGGCTTATTTTGGAAAACGCTGTAGAAAAGAAAAAAGAACTAGTGGGAAGAAGTTGCAAGTTGACTAGTCCACATAAGTAAAAGAAACTCTGAATCACCTACAAAGATAAGGCTAGCTATGCTTGCAATTAGCCTTCCCTTTCACTGACTGCTCTGGAGTTGTGACATCATAGGAGAGCTGCCTGGGTGCAGTTCAGTGGGAGCACTTTGCAAGTGGAAGAGGTGCATGCACATCAGCTTGGTCTAAGGAGAAATGGAAGGAGGGAGAGATGAAGAACTTACCAGGCCACCTCCACAGGTGCTGAAAGAGGCCAGGGAACCAGGGTGCCCCAGAACCGCCCCGGTATAGAAGCAGGCTGTGTCTGGTGGCACCGGAGGACGCAAGACAGCTGCTGCCCGCGTGGGGCCAGGGCCCAGACTCGGCCACTGTTCTACTGCAAAGCCCTGTGCCAAGAAGCGGCCATCTCTCCTGAGTAGCAGGTATAGGTCCCTGGAGAAGGCTGGGATCCGCAGCAACACTTCATCGCCATCATGCTGGGCTTGCTGAGCCGGAGGTGGGGATGGGGGCGGCTGTGGGGACAGCAGTGGCGGCCACGAAGCTGGGGCACCGGGAGACAGGGCAGCAGCCCCACTGGATCCCCGAGGCAGCTCCTGAGATTCCAGTTCCTCATCCTCCTCCACCCCAGGAGGTGGGGGGGGCCGGGGCTGGGGCTCAGACTGGCCCTCTGAGGGCTCTTCCAGCGGCACGGGGGCCACAGAGCGCACCTCTCGAGAGCTGCCAGCAGCCTGCACCCTGCCGCCGGCAACACCACGCACCCAGTTCTGGTCCGCGCTGCCCCCACTGCCGCCTATAGTTGCTTCCACTGACTCCCGGCGCCAGAGTGCAGGAAACACGACTTCCCACTCCTCGTGTTCGGGGGTGAAATGCAGCCCTGCGGGCGGGGCAGACAGAAGTGCAGTGCTTAAAGTGTCAAGGTTCCAGTAAGCACAAGCATTTGCAGATTCTCACTGCATTAAGGATACCAGAAGCTTGCTTTAAGGAGATGGAGACCACCCGTCTAGCCCTGAAACTCTTGCAACCCCTGAAGCCTCGCGATCGGATTACAGACCCTAGCATTTTCAAAATAAAAGTACGATTATTGGGGGTGGAGGGAGGCAGGCGAAATGGGTCAGCAAAGTTTGGTGACAGCACTTAACTACTGCAAGGAAAACTAGAGCAAACACTTTCACACAATTGAGGTATTTTCGTAAGGGTATGTCTGAGTAAAACATCGTTATCAATTGGTGCATTTCTCAATTTTCCTCCAGGTGCTTTAAACATCTCTTTGCAAATATTACTAGTCACATTAGAGGAAAACAGATTATTTCACGACGTTTTAAACGAGGCGGGTAGAGGTGCGCTTGGCTTCTCTAAGCACGACCGGCTCACCCACACCAGCATGCTGGTTTGTACGGCTACCACTGAGCCCTGCTCACCATGCCCAGTCTACACCAATTCTGCCTACCCACGCGTTCTAGGTCTCTGCTGGGTAGCTGCAAAGCCGAAAGCCACGGAAGAACTTACCTGAAACGATCCCATTCGAAAATACTCCCAGCTGGTAAAAAAGGTAGCAGTAGCAGATGTGAGTCAGAGTCGGGCGCATCTTGCCGCCCTTCCCCAAAGTGTGCTCCCGCGGCCCCCAGCTCCTAGCTAGTCCTGCGCGCACCGCACCTCGTAGCGCGATCCACCCCGGCGCCACTGCTGCCTCCCGGAGCGCAAGGAAGCCGAACGGTGAGTTTGCCCAAGCCCTTTGTCTGCTATTGGGGGTAGGGGGGGAGTGGGGGGGTTCCTGTGTGACTCCTAGAGGCTGCCTGAGCACGGGCGGGGTAGAGTGGGGAGGAGGAGCGGGGGCAGGCAGCGCCCCCACAAAGCTCAGGTCCCGGGCGAATTAGGTGATGAGTCTATTTTCTGTGTTCTGGATGTTGTAGGAATTTCCCAGGCCAAGCAGGCTAGATCCAAAGCCCCACAGACAGACCACAATCAGCCTAGAGCCAGGAGGCTCAGGGAGGGCAGCGCTGCCTGAGGACAGGCGGGACTGCGCGCGGGCAGAGACTGGCTGGCTGCGCTGCCGTCCCAGCAACCTGGTGTGCCAAGCTCCTGCTCGCTCCTCCCAAGGGCTCGCAGGCAGCAGTATGGGAGGTAATTGGTGGGGACAGGCGGGGGTGGAAGGAGACACCATTCAGGAGGTGGAGTGTGGAGAAAAAAGATTCAAAAGGAACACAAAGAAAGGGGCCAAGGGATGCCCGCCAAGTGCGACTTTGAGGCACAAAGGTCCCAGAATAGCGCACACGTGCTCACACACCTAGTTGTGATGGGGTGGGGAGCCAAACTCCTTCACCTGACTTCCGATTGGCCATTCTAGGAGGGCGGATTTGCATCCTCATCCCGCCCCCTGTATCCCCCAGGCGGAGGTGCTTGCAGGTAGAAGTGCCGCCCCTTGCAATCCCACCCCCTAAATCTGCAGCTCCTTTTGTCCAGCTCTTCCCCATCTGCGCAGCATACAAAGCAAAACTTCGCCCAGACTTGAGCACAAAGCTGAGGCCTCATTTCCCAAAGAACTTTGGTTTGACTTCCCATCTTTGTCTCTGGGAGTTTTCTAAGCCTGGAAATAATGTAATTCGTCATGGAGTGTGCTTCAAAGGTTGCCAGGACATTGGACACCCTGACATTTCTGAGTCCCTATCCCACCTTATCTTTTCAGCTTCCACTTCATCAGTACTATCAATTTCCTACCCGTTCCCCGCTCCCGCCCCCCAACCCTGGCTAGCAGAAATGTGCACACACACCACCTATACCTCATGCACATTATTACTCACGGAGGCAACATTAGGAGGAACGACATTAAATATAGATGGCAAAGATGTCAGACCAGGTGAGAATATATTCCTTTTTGTACTTTTTTAATTGAAATATTGTATGTTTATTTTCTTACCTATATAAATATGAAATACCTGCTTCTGGGGAGGTGAAATTGACCTTATTTGCTTCTTTGCTTTCTTCTCTTCAGGGTACCTATTACTCTTTCTAAACCTCTCCCTTGGTTACATCAAGCCTTCCACATAGATAATTTACCTGACCTACCATTTGTATCTTTTGGAAAAGATCAGATACCTAGAAATGAGAGTTAATGCAACTTAGTTATTAAACAATTCCTGCACTGAGGTTTGTTCCCCCAAGTCCTTTGTTGTTTTACCTTCCATCCCTGGAGTCAAAGGTGACTACCATGCCTCTTACTGAGGCAGATGATCTTATTTCAAAGGAAAGCTTTTGTTTGAATAAGCCTGATCCTAGAATACTTTAGTTCACCAAAATTTAAAACAAACATGAAGACACTCTAGGTGTGTTTGTCAAGACTTTTCTGTCTCTAAATCTGTCTTGTGCACTTTCTACAACATGAGTAACTGAAATGTCGGTTTCTAGACTCTCAAGAAACATCTGGATTACTTAGAAGCCTACAGGCGCCTTCTTGTGAAACTCAATTATCAGAATGAAAACTAGGCAAAAGAATATATGCAGCTTATTTTTAAGAAATTTAGCCATTTAAAAGGGTGGAAGGATAGCTTCAATGACACACCTCCACTAAGACATGTGTACTAAGTAATTTTTTATTTAATTTTAACTGAAAAAAAATTTGAGTATAATTGAAGAAATGGACATTTTACTGTATGTTTTTACTGGAATCTATCTGTGATTCCTTAAGCTGGATCCTGTATGTTTAAATTAAGTATACTCATAAACAGAGGTTGGCTATGAAATTTCCACCGCTGTCCTTTATCTCCTCCTTCCCCCAGCACACAGTTACAATTTATTTGTAAAATTACAAAGATTTTTATAAGTCATTTGGGTTGTAATTTCTGTGTACATGTTTCTCCTATTGGACCTTTTTTTAAAGGCAGGAATATCTTTGTACCTCACCCTGTCTAAATCTATGATTAACGTGTTTTACACATATCAGTGTGAAATTTCTCAGAAGATTATTTAAGATGTCTTAGCAGATGGTACAAATTTACTTCTGTATGGTATTGTATTCCAATTCAAATTCTCTGATTCAGAATGATAAAGTTAGCTTTGCTGGTGATCAGACACAATCAGCATGATTTATTTGGTATGCAAATAATAAAAGGCTAAGGGGAAAAGTGCCCCAGGGAAGTGTTTATGCCTAAACTAGGAGAGATTTAGATGTGCAAGTAAAAGTGAGTTTGAGTGTGTGCTTGTAATGTGAAAGAATGAACTAGCCTGATCTGGAATTGACAAAGGTGTATGTGGTGCAATAGAAGAGAAAAGACAGTGTTGTTCATGTGTGTGCATTGCCAACCTCAGAGAGAAGAAAAGAGCAGCTGGGAAAAAGATGTTTGTTAAAGACAGGTCACTACATATGTCACCAGATGGTAGCTAGCATCAACCAAGTACTGCCTGTGCAAGGCAGAGCAAAGCGAGAAAGCATCAGAATAAGTGGAACCAACTGTTCTTATGCACAAGGTGCTCACATATTGCATTTTATAACCCATGCTTTATATATATAAAAAAAAATTGGCTTTGATGCCTTGAGCCTTTTCTCACTCTCTTCACTCATTGGCTCTCAGCCTCTCACAACTGAAAGCTAATCTTAAATGTGTTCCCCTCCCAGAAAACCTTAAGTAGTGAGAAAATACAAAGAACTCATTCACTGAGTTGCTTGAGGATACCAACTTCATTCACCTCTAAGTCAACATCAAGACATAAGTTTGTTCTGGCCATCACTAAGTAGTAGGAACTAGATTCAGCTCTAGTTAGGGATGAGAGAAGAGGCAGACTTGAATGGTGACAGGTGAGGAGGGAAGAAAATAGATGATCACAATTTCCCAGCTTATTATCTGGAGATAATTTCTAGGCTTCAGCACAGCAACGGGAAATCCAGACAGAGCCGTGAAGATTAGTTTAATTGAGGAAACAGAGCAAGTGACTAGAATTTACAGGACAAAATAAATCAAAGGAGGGAGTGCTTAGAGAATGTACTAACTACCTGTTGTTGCCTAATAAACTTAGAAACTTCAAATAACAGGTTTATCTCACATGGTTTCTGAGGATCAGGAATCTAGAGATAACTAAGCTAGATATTTCTGACTCAGCAGCTCTCATATGATAGCTGCCAAACTCTTAGTCAGAGTTGTAAGTTCTACAGATTTTTGTAGAGATGGAGGTACTATTTTCAGAGTCATGTGACAGGAAACTTTCCACATGGAACACTCCATGAGGCTGCTTAATTTATGTGTTCCTTCAGACTAGGTAAATCAGTAAAGAATATACTCAGCTGGTAAGCTATGGTCTTTTTATAACCCAATCTTGAAAATGACATGCCATCATTCTTTTCATATCATATCCTATTCATAAGAAGCAAATCACTAAGTCTAGCCCAGAGTCAAAGGGATCCGTATCAAACCATCTGTAGACATTATAAAAAAACATCATGGGCACCAGTGTCCTCTGAACATACGTAATTTGCATTCTCTCCATGTGCAAAGAAATTAATCTCTTCGTAAGACCTTCAATTGGTTCATCCTACTAAAGCATCTCAAAATCCTGCTAAATCACATTCAAATGTGCATTAACATCCTCTGTGCAGTTTATTAAGTATAGCACCTTGGGTCTAGACCCTTTCCCTGTACAGACTTGTGAAACCAAAGAAACAATTTGCCTCCTATGCTCCCAAAACTTTGTAATAGGAAATTTCTGTTTAAAAGGGAGGAAAGAGGCAGATACTAAGTAGTCATTGGTCCACAGCAATTCTGAAATTTTACTGGAAAAATGCTTGAACTTCCTTGGGAATGTTCCAGGTCTGGAAATATCTGCCCATGACTCTGCTCCTCCGGTCTGCAAACTGTTAACTACCAGCTAAGTCATCCTTTTGTTTTCCTAAAAGATAGTATGCTTTTGCAACAGAGTTGTTTTCTCACTTGGCTCCCTGAAACAGAATTTATGATCTTCAAAGTCAATACACTTTTTTAATTTTCTGCCACTTTCTGTTCAGAAATACTTTTACATATGTATTTCTGTTTTTCAAACACTGAAAGTCTGTGGTGTGTAAATGTTATACTGTCAAATCTCTTTCAAGATACACATTTCTCTTCTTAAGTTCTGATAGCACTGCTGTGAGACAGTACCCCTGGACTTCTAAAAAGTTCTATTGTTTAACTGAAGGAAACTAGGAGGCATGTACTTAAAATCCTAAGAGATCATTCGTTCAGATAAAAAGACATTTTGAGTGGTGCCATATGATCTTTACTAGTTCCCAAAGGATTTTATAGTCACACAGTAGGCTTCTTAATCAAACCAGGCATTCCTGAAAGTGTCCTGGGTTTGTCTTTGTTCTTATACAATTTGTTCTTAATTTTAGGATTATTTTTCAGAAATAAAATCATTTTTCAGAAAAATTTTAAGTTGTTCAGTGCTGGCTGCATTTTGTTAATAGTTTCCTTTTAAGTTTATCTGTCCCCTTTCGTACCTTCTATAAGCAGAAAGTAATCAGGTAGCACCTTTTAACTTGAAAATCTCTTAGCTTGATGAACCAATCCACTGGGCCCGTTTTCTATTGCAGACAACAAAATTACTAAAATAAATGCCACT